TTTTTTTTTTTTTTTTTTCAGACCGATCGGTCTAGTCCTAGACCGATCGGTTCAGAACGGACGTTCCGTCTCGTCCAGAACGGACGTTCTGGCAAGTCAGAACGGACGTTCCGGATTTGCAGAACGGACGTTCTGGAGTCGTCTTCAACCTCCAGACTTCGCGTTTTCTTCTGCGGACCTAGAACGGACGGTCTGACCTCAGACCGGACGTTCTGGTCCTCGGATTTTCACCAAAACACACAAACATGCACGATTCACTATGGATATAACACTAAAACTCATAAAATTGCATGTACAACACGAATCAAACATCAATTTCTCACAAAATCACTCAAAACCCAAAACCCCATGTCTAACAGACTTTCGAATTAAACTCGAATTCACTCACCTCGGTTAATCTCGTGTTCTGGGTGACGGCTAGGAAGTTCGGTGATGCTCTTCTTGCTCTGTAGGAACCGATTTGGGTGTGAATCCTTTGGTTTTGGCAAAGAATTTCTGGGTTGAAGTTTGAGAGAGAATGGAGAGAGAATGGTCAAAGGGAAACTCAGATTTGGATGATTTTCAGACGGATAATGATTGAGCCATAGGGCCCTAGGGTTGAAAAATCGGAATTATTGTCGAAGATTGGTGGGTAAACGTCGTTTTCAGGTCGGACCCAGACGAAATCGCGGCTTGGCTGCTGCCGACAGTCTGGTCCGTCCGTTCTGCAGTGTGGAACGGACGTTCTGCAGTCTGGAAGCCAGAATAGGTGCAGTGGTCAACCTCTTCTTATGGCCGTGGTCCGTCCGTTCTGGTCCCTCTGGAACGGACGGTCTGCGTTTGTTTTTTTTTTTAAAAAAAAAAAAAAACCGGGTTGTTACATAATATATATGATCATTCACATATCAGAATTTTACATAAAAGGGGAAAAAAGAGAAGAAAAATTCCTATTTCTTTTACCCATTTAGAAATTCCCTAAGCCAAAAAAAAAAAAAACTTCAGCTACATGTTTGAACAAAGAAAATAAATTGGAAAGTTCAAGAACAAGAAGCATTATGATCATCACCACCATGTTGGTTCATGCATGGGATCGATCATTTCCTTCTTCATGATCATGCATCATGATGATGATGATATCTGAAATGAAACCGTCCGTCAACAGCTTCAAGTAACCCAATCTCATCACTGGATTGATCCTCAGGACCATCATCATCTTCAAGAGAAAGATTCAGATCAAGTGTCACGTTTTTATCCTCCGAATGATCTGAACCGTCCGATTTCCGAGGGGAACATGCTCTCGATCTCGATCTGAAGCTTTCACAGCTCAATATCACAATTGAATCTCCAACTGAAGATTCCTCGCCATTTGCGTTGTGAACTCTTCCTCTTTCTATGGCTCTTTTGAAACCCATTTGGGAAAAGTAATCAGCTTGTTCGATATCTTCCACGAAGAACACTCTATGTGGATCGCTCGATATCGCTTCAGAGAATTTCTCTATGTAACTCCAACTCTGTTCATCTCTTGCCCTCTTGTTCCTCAGATCTTCGGTAGAATCAGCTCTTGTCGAGGAGAAACTGCTCAAACAAATGGAAACAAATCTGTTCTCTGACCCGAAAACGAGCTCTGCCAACTCTCTAGCAATCTTTTCTTTGGCTTCGACATCAACTCCTTCGAAAAAGAACCAAGTTTCTTCCTTTAGATCCTTGTTTTTGTCCTTAGGTTGCTTCCTAGTAGTCGATCCCGACCTACATTTCAAGATCGTGCTCGCTATCTCGGGTATTATATCCTTCTTCCACGGTACCTTCTTCTCCAAGGCATCACATAGAACACTTAGATTCTCAGGATTCATCTCCTTGTACTTGGAGACATACTCCATATCCATTGCTTCACTCGAAGAGGCCGCAGAATTCATCGAGGAATTCGGGTTTGAAGGAAAAAGCTTCCCAGTTTTCTGAAAGTTATCGCTGTCAGGGATGAATAATCTCAAGTTGGGTTCAGCAGGGACAACATCGGATGTCTCTGGCATCAAGGAATGACAATACTTGTTAGATTCGATCACAGGCCAATCACTGTTGCTTCGATGCAGAGTTTTTGGACGATGAAACTCGTAAGAGATGGAAGAAGGAGAAAGAGAAGACAATGTAAGGGAGTTTTCTGATGGTTTCTTGTGAATTGAATTGCAGATAGAGTTCCACTTCATGCGAAGCTCTTTGATAGAACCTGAATCCTGAAAAATCCCAACCCAAATCAAGAACAAGAATTGGGTTAGGCTTGTGAAATATCCATGACGTAATACAAAAAACAGATGCAATAACAAATCGTTTGGTCGCCCAAGATGTTGTTATCACTTTACAACTTGGAAATATAATTAATGGAGGTGAATAACTTGATGTAGTTTATTGATCATGGGTTTGTGGGGTTAATGTGTACTCGACATAAACACAAGGTATATATCATGCATATACAATTCGTATGATTGATGGGTGTACCTAATTACATATACATGCGTGCATAAACACATATATAAAAAAGGAAATGAAACACTAAAAAAGATCAAATTGATTAAAAATATAATAACTCACAGTATAATCATTGTTGTGGTTCTGAACTTGCTGAGTCTCTTTCTTGTACTGTTGAAGCCAAGCCGGGAGAGCTGTAGTGGCGTTACAGCTGTTGCTGCTGCTGCATTGCAAGCTTCGAGCTTCTGTCTCAAACTTCACTGAGCATTCCCGGCAGCAAGTGAGCTGCTCGACTTCTGCAACCACTACAGTCCCTGCTGTCAGCTGTAGCGGCTGCAGTGGCTGTATCAAATTGGTCTCTGTTTTCTTGACCATCAGGCCGTGGTTTTCAATCTCGACCTCGCTGAAAAATTTGGTGCCAAGGAGTAGAACTTTACATTATTCTAACTTTCAACTGAAATCAAGTTATCGCTACACAATAAAGCCGGAAAAAGGAAAGTATACAGAACCAGCACAAAGATGGTGGGAAATGCAAGAAGAAAAAAATGGTTCTTTTCTTGAAAAAAAGACGGAACAATAATACGTAAATTTGTTGGGTATTGAAGGATTCAACTTGCATGTACGCATACACACAAGCATGTATACATACACAGAAACATGTAAAAACTTACCCGTCGGAGATGAGATTCAAGCGGAGGCTACTCGCCGGAATAGTGAGAGCTGAAAGGCACCAAAGCAGCTCAAGAGAAGGATGACCTGACTTGCATCTCAAGTAAGTTTGAGAAGTTGCAATTCCCATGAGCCAAAACCTTCCATTACCTCCCATCATCAATTCACGAGCCAGTTTACCAATCTCCATTATCATATGTTCCACTGCACAGTAATTGTTACCTCTTCCAAGTTGATGATCGCCCGAACTTCTTGTTCTATATTCGACAAACCAATTAAGATCACCAAGATTTAGAATCACCCCTTTGCCTATACAGCTCTTCACAAGCTTTTCAAGCTCTTCCAGCTTCTGTTCGACTTCCGTTCTACTCGGCTGTCCGAACGAGGAAAATGATAAAGTTATAAACTTTATGTCTTTCAATGCGTCGGGGACGTCTCTTTTGTCGACTTTCTCCATCACCGCTCTTACAACTCCATCGATAGTGGCCAAACACTCACCGATGATCACAAAGTTCCTCCTCCTCTTGTCCACAAGATTTTCCACAACATACATGACATCTTTCTCGCAAACCCGCGTTGATAACTTGTCTGTCTTGGTCTGAGAGAGAGGGAAAGTGCTGTCGGATCCTTCTTTAGGTTTACTCGAAGAGGTGGTCTTGGAACAAATCTCCAAAGAAACAGCTTCCTCGACCTTGCTCTTCACCTGAGTGCTAGTGAAACCAGCCTCTCTCATCACTCTACTCACACTAGGGTCATCAAGAATCGAAATTATTAGCTGCTCCAACTCGATCTTCACGGCCAAGATCGGTTGCTGCTGGCTCTCGATGGATCCACGTCGTTGGTGAGCTTGTGCACGCTTGAAAGCTGCAACCAAAGCGTTGGATATCGAAGGGCAAGGAGAGGTAGGAGCACCCAGCATAGGGCTACCAGTGGAAGTGGGTAAACGGTTGAGGGCTACGTTTAAGCAGAGCTCGAGGGCTCGGCACTGGAGAGGGTGAGTATGTGATTGGAGACAAGCCGTACGGAGTAAGCCAGTGGAGGCAGAGAGCATGGTGCTAGCCACGTGGAGAGGAGTGACCTGAGCATGGCCACGCCTTCGAGCCAAAGCCATGGCTTGTTTCACCACGCTGGCTGCCTCTGGCGTCAGCGCTTGCTGCAGCGTGCAACCCCCTGCTCTCATACTTAGTATTTGTGTGTGTATAAATAGTGACAAGAGACTGAAACAGTGGCAAAGAAGGGAAATGGAACGAGGAGGGAACACTAAAGACAAGGATTGAAGGGTTTTGGCTTCATTTAACTCAACAGAGAACTTAGTGATCTCTTTGGTATTTGGTTTTAAGGAAGTTTTATGTGAAGTTAAGAGGTGAGTTAATAAGGTGGAGGTGAGGAAGAAGGGAGAGGGAGAGGAAGAGAAGGGAAGGTGTTAAAGTGTATATGAAAGAGGAAGAAGTAATGCTTTTCTTGTGGGAGAGGCAATGTGTTTTGAGAGGGTCCAAAGTGGATTTTGTAGAGCAAAGTGGGATGCATGTGATGACAAGAAGGAAGGGTTGCAACAGTTCTAAAAGCCAAAGGCAACTTAGCTTTGCCCTTATTCTCTCCCTCTCAAACTTCACAAAAGATGCAATGGGTACTGCTGCCGAGTGGGTCTCTCCCTTTTATGCAAAGTGTATACATTGATTTTAGTAAAACTAAAGCACCCACAAGTTATGGATATAAATCTTGATTTCATTTATATAACCCCAAGAAGAACATTTGGTACAAAATCTTCGCATATCATTTATAGAACCTATGACTAGCCAAGTCCCAACATTCTTTTGGAGACAACAGTCTCCTCCAAGTCTAGATCCCTGTCAAGCAAGCTAGTAGTCACATGTCAGCAACAACATGGGAAGAAAAAACAAAAGAAATATTAGAGTGAGACCGGTTTAGACCTAAACCACCGGTCTCGTTTGGTTTGACCTAAATAGATCTTGTAAGGATGATTTGATTAGGTATATTGTTCTTCTTTTCTCCTGTGAAATTCAACATAGTAACATAGTATCACAAGCGAAACATATATTTGCAGATACCTAAGTAACCTAACCATATGTATTGCAGCAACTATGTTTTCAGCAATCAAATAGAATAGTTTCAAGAATATATTATTTGGATGAATAAAAAAAAGGCATGCAATGAATGATTTTATAAACATTGCATGGCTTGAATTCGATTTCTTTGTAAAGAATATATATATATATATATATCAATCTATTTGCCTTCATTACTTTCATAAAGTGTATAGCTTTTGGACCATATCTTTCATTTAAATAGAAAGAGAAGAAGAAAACGAAGTGTTTAGAACAAGAAAGAATAAAAAAAAATGAACAATATAAAAAGACAACCATGTTTCCAACACAACCAATAGTATTACAAGGCAGGCTTTAGTGGGGTGTATATGTACAGTGATATTCTTTTTTTAAAAAAAAAATCTATCATATGTGATGCATCCTACTTATGAAAATCATTTTTTAGGTTTCGGAAATCAAGATCGGGAGTACCCAAACTTATAACATTTGTGCCTCGACACCTAAGTTTCGTCTACGAAATCAATGAGAAGGAATGAAATTAATCATGTAAGATCAAATGATACCTGAACTTGTAAAGAAAATAAATGCATCACTATATATTCACCTTTGCCTAGGAATATTGGATCAGATTTATACTTTAATTCTCCCACATACGGAGAAATGTAAATATAAATTTAATAAGAGGAATCAGGAATCATACATGATATACGCACTCCATAAATACATATAAAATGAAAATGGTAATATAGAAAAAAATAATATCACATTTGGTTCGTAGATTATTTTATTTTTTTGCTATTTAATTATTTACTCCCACAAGAAAACAAGAAATCTTCCTTTCATTCCCCAATCATCTTTATTTCAGCTTTTACTTGTTTTTATGCAAGGCCTTCGTTCAAAGGCCACTATTTCCTACATGTACTATCTCACTCTTCCAACGCTCCTAGAAAGAAACTAAAGCAGCATTTAACAAAACTTTAGTAAATAATTTATATAATATATATATATAATATTCAAGAGGGCAAAACAAAGATGATGTACCAAAAAAATTAAAAAAGAGAGAATGATCCGACAATCATTGAGGAAAAGTAAATGATGTGAAATCAGATTTGAGTTATGCATCAATGGCCAAAAGGACAAAGAAACACCAACAAGAACAGATGGTGTATGCATATGTACATACATGCATATATATATGTGTGTGTGTGTATCTGGAATATAGCTCTTCCTTTCGGTTGGACGTAACAATTACAGGACACAACATGACACAACAAGGCTTTAATTTCCTGATGAGGAATGTCTCAGATTCACAACGGAGCTTTGGCTTCTTTTCAGAATATAAGGAACTCAAGGACATAGATTTTCTGACTCATTTTCCAGACCCAATTTATATAGTTTACTTGGGAATATATAATATGCACATGATGTGCAAACTAGCATAATCGGTTCAGTTCAAATCTCCTTACAAACACCGAGCTTTCACATAATCATTTCAGACCCAAACGATTAGACGTTAGATGCACACACATATGTAGACACATGTGCCACTGAGGAAGTGTGGCATAACTGCTTAACTACATATTCATGCTCATTACATGGACATATATATGTATATATGTGCAAAGACATGTTACATATATGCTTAGTCACAGAGGGATTGTAGGACCAAAGTGGAAAGTTAAGAGAATAAATCCAAACACACCAACTGTTTGTTCCTCGCTGTTCCACAGTCAAAAAGGAAAAACAAAACAAACAAAGAGCTTGTTTTATGAGCTTAAGACCTAAAACCAAAAGACATACAAAAGGAGACCAAATAGTTTGAATGAATGCAAAAGCAGAGGAGCATATAAGGTTGCTTCGGCCACACCCATTCACCCAATCAGAACCCTTTCTCTTTTCATCAACATCCATCAACTTTGTTCCAACAAAAGCTTCAACCTTATATGACAAAAGCCAATATGCATAAACCAATCCTTTCGAGAAAGCGTGTGACCAGGAACGGTCAAACTGACGCTTTACCGGGACCAGGCCCGGGATGATCCTAAAGTGTTCCACTTCGCGAAAACATCGCTAAATCAAGTCATCAGATTCGGACAAAACTAATGCAAGACTCTGTGACAGAATTTTTAGTAATACGCTCACTCTTTATTGAAAACTATGATTTTGTCAAACCAGTACAAGAGACATGGTGGCACGGAATGCTTCTGCAACAGATTCGAGACAGTAACAATATAGCAAGGGCATCAAATCTTGGAAAACTTACCACTACTTGCTTTGCTATGCGCTTTTCTTTTTATACTGAAACTAGTTTTATAACTTGAATGTGTTTGAAAATGTAACGTGAGTCACCTGATTTCATGCTATAGCTCCCTATTGGTTTCACTGGCCACACACACATAATATATGTCCAATTATCTTTTTCTCTGTGGTTGCTATAAAACCAAACCCTTTGCTAAAAAATTTCATGGGAACACAAAAAAATTGTTAGAGGAGCCTCTTAATTCTTTTTCCTTTTCAAAATAAAGCACTCTTATCACAAAAGCAAAGCATTAAAAGCAAAATATGGCATTATCTACTCAAAAGAGACTCCCATTTTGGCTTTTAGCTTTTTGAGCATTCAAAATAAGCATCTTTCTCCTCCTGAGTGCGGCCATGTGGGAAGAAAGCAATAAACAGAATTAGAAGGAACAAAGTGAAACCGCGGTTGTGAGAGAGAGAGAGAGAGAGATTGGAATAGTTTTATAGCATAATTCGACATTGGACGGCCTAACTTTACGAAAAATAAGCTTTAAAGATTAAAGAAGCAATGGAACAAAGTTGTCCTAATTTTGACATGACAGCCTTCTTAATCTAAAGTTGATGGAATTACATACCAACATGCTTCTTTTTTCAGGAAAAAAAAAAGGAAGTTTGCCTTTGCCCTCGTTTTTATAGTCTGTATCCACCATTAGCTATAGTTGGTATCGGTAATATCCCTAATCTTATTTTCTCCCACAACCTAAAAGATGAGTTTCGCTTAATCTAAAAGAAACCCGGATGTTCCAATAGAATCTACAGCTTGGCATATATTCCTCTAACTTGTTCCCTAGATTTTCCCAAATTTAAAAAATGTGAACCACACCAGTATCATCATCGGTTAAAGATATGGAATGCAAGATAATGTCAAGAGGGGAACCAAGCATATGCAACGAACTTGTTTTGGAAGAGTCTTTATCATAAGAGACCAAAGAGATCATATAATAAAGTGTGTTAGAAACTTAGAATCATGAGGTGTCTGATTTCTAAGCCGAGAGTCCTTATATGTGGTGTTTGGCATACATGACACTCCAGAAACTTCCAAATTTTTTTATCGCGTTAAGGAACTCTTATGTCGCAGTTAGTCACAAAAGTCAAAACCATTGCACATGAGTTCATGTTTCATCAGTCGTCAATCAAGATGTTTCCACTACGAATCCTGTTTTCCATAATCGTGCAATAAACAACACGAGACGGGTGAAAATATGTGCAATAGATTCCGAAGTATTTAACAAATCAAGGTTTCTTATACGCCTATGTATCACATGACTCAAGATTGTGGTTCATGGAAGCTTAAAATTCAGAATTCAGATGGAAACTATAAGGGGCATAGTAATCACGTACATTTAGGGTTTAACCTAGAAGGTTTCCTACGTATTATGTGTAGTGCCCCTACAATGTTTTCTGTATACTGTTCATAAGTATAATGTACACTGTATATACATAATACGTAGGAAACCGATAAACCCTAGAAATAAAAGAGGATCAAAACCCCCCTAAACCAGTGTGGTAAGGTATCGTCTCAACAACACCTCGATTCTGAAAATAAATCAGACACTCGATCCCAATGTGCTAACTTCACCAAAGTACTCATCACATATTCGAATGAGAAAAGAAGAATCAAACTGTTACGTCTCAAATCCAAACGGAATTCGAATCGGAACCCACGAAATTCCAAAAACATCGAACAAATTTAGGAATATTCGGATTCTAATTGCCAAATCGCGATAGAAGGAGAACGTTCAGAAACTTACTTGAACAACGAGGGATCGTAGATTCCGAAGGATCATCGGAGAAAACGCCTGAAGAAAATCGCAGGCGAAGAACCGATCAGAAGAAAACCCTCCCACGACGGATCAAATAACCGTTTCTCTCTACCTCGCCTACGCGCGCGTCCGAGTTTGGGCTGTTTGGCTATGGGTCTAATTGGATTCGGATGCTGCTTGGGTTGGTCCGGGTCGAGTTCAGCCGGATATGAAACTAACTAGGTAAGCCTAAAATTTTAAAACTGAAGCCTAATTATATAATGGGCTTTCAAAACAAACTACTTGGGCTTCTATGGACTTACTCCCATTTTAATAGATATATTCAAAATTGATAATCAAATTCAAAAATTAAAAATTTTAAATTTCAAAAATATCTTAAAAATCAATAAAATATGATTCCTAATATAAACCTATCGAATAGAATTGAAAAGCGAATGTACTTAATTTTTCTAAAATCGGAAAACATAAACTCTAAAATAATCGAATTTAATCGGAACCAAAATAGGGAATATCTAATCTACCCCTAACTCTAATACTAATTTTACAAAATAAGTAATTATATTTAAACAAAAATCGAATAAAAAATTGATATAGTTATAAATATATCGGTTTCGTTTAAAAAAAAATCTAAAACCGGTATATAGAATTATTTATCTAAATCATGGTATAACAATGGCTAATTTCAAAATTGATGATTAGCATATGATGAGAGACTGACTTGGTACATTTTTTTATTAAAAAAAAATAGGCTTATTGTCTTTTCCTTAGGCATTTCTTTTTATACTTTCTAGTGGTTTTCCTTTTGGTCAATAGTGATTTTTCTCTTTATGATTATTATTTTATAGTTTCAACACCTATGTTAACTTTGAAAATTTTGAAAAGTTTTATTTCTTACTATTAAAATATAAGCAGATAAAATATCATCAAACTAAAAAAATGTTTCCAAAGATGCCTTAGACCGTAAAAATTCAGGAACTTTCATCGCATAAAGAAATATAGAAAACTATTTTTAATGTTAAATAAATATTTTAATTAGATTTTTCATTAAAAAAAATTAACAGTTTTTTAGTATTTTTATTAGTTTGGATATTGATTAATGTCTGGCTATTAATTTTTAAAATCACCTAACTTAATATTTTTTACGATTCTTCTAAAAAAATTAGATAAAGAAAGAAGGTTTAATAACTCCAATAATAATTCATATTAATTGGGATTAGTTCGACAACTAAAATCTCATTAACATAAAAGCACTTTTTATTTGAAGAAAGAAATTAAAATCGAGTAGATAGAAATAAAAGAAAATGTTAAAATAAAAAACATTAGCCAAGGTTGTAGAATTACAAATCTACCCCCTACGAATTGCATCTCTTCTTCATGAACCCAAACCTCTCATTTTCCAGGTCGAACTCCACCTGATAATTCTGCTGCTGAAAACTCCCGACGATGATCGCCGGACCACTCCTTACTCCGGTGGGATTCACCGTCGTCTCCGACACCACCGTTAGACAGACATTGTCGCTGCTTCCGACAAACGAGAAGAAGTTCGACACTGGGAGCTTCATCTGAGCTCCTCCTTTGAACTCGAACACCAGATCTGGCACCGTCACCGATTCATCGCCGGAGATGTTGAAACACGGTCCGAGTCCGGTGAGCTTCTCTATTCTTGTGTCTCTGCTGTAATTTCCCATCTGGGTTTCGAATTCTTTGGCCACGAGATCGTAAACGGGTCGCTCCAGGAACGTGAATGTCGACCCGGAATCGACGATTGATCCCCCGTTTCCGTCAGATCCGGGTGCTAAGAACTCGTACGGGATCTTCACGCGCTTTCCGCCGACGTAGATTCGCCGGAGATTCACGTAGTAGTAGTCCTGGAACGCTACGTTGGAGACATTAGGGTTCTTGCGAAACGGCGTGTAGATGAGACCTGGGGTCTTCTTCGAACCCGACCCGGTTTCCAGGACGAGATCGCTTGTCACCGCCGTGTCGTCGAACCGGCGGGAGACCAAGCAGTAGGAGAATCTCTTGAGACCCATTTGAGCAGGGAGCGATTCGGGTCCTCGCCCGAATCCGGCGATGCCCTCGGGTTGTCGGGTCGATAAAATGGAGCATCCGACGAGGAAATCCGGTACGGCGAGATCCGTGAAATCGAGGGTTTCTGAGAGCAGAATCCCAGCCGTTGAACCCAACCCGTATTGGATAATGTACGGAGGACAAGCTTCCGTACAGTTCTGGGTATTCGGACCGCATCTTTGGCATTTGACACTGGGTCCGAATAGCAATTTGCATTTCGGGCTCTGGCATCCGATGATTCTAGTCGTGGTCGAATTCTTGGGTATGAACCTCGGGATCTGATTGGGATCGACATTGGAGAAGAGACAATCGGAGCAGAGGTAACGAGAGGTGCAAGGGAACCAGACAAGGCTACTCCCAGTGTCGAAGACGAAGGGAAGTGTCTGTGGAGGCTTACCGAAGCTGAGAGAAACAGAGTAGCCGCCATAGCTTCGAGCGGCGAGAGGAGGTTTCACGGCGGCGGCCGAGGCGGAGACGGCGGAAGAGGAGGAGGAGTGTTTGGAATTTGGGTTTTTGAGGAAACGAGATCTGGCGACAGAGGCGGTGGCGAGGCGGCTGAGGAAAGGGTAGGGGTCGCCGGAGGAGAGAGAATAGTCGCCGTCGAGGTGAGAAAACGGGGACAGAGAGAGTTTGACGGCGGATACGGCGGCGGAGAAGAAGAGGAGAGAGAAGAAGATAGATAAGGGAGAAGAAGAGGAGGAAGAAGCCATTGTTGTGTAGTGTTGTGTTGTCATGTGTGGCTTATGGGTTAAGTAAAAGAAGAGGAGGAAGAGGAAGAAGACAAAAGAGTGGAAAGTTGCCAAAGGGAGCAACGGTTGGCAAAAGGGTGGAGAATCATGTTCGATTTTAGTGACCTTGTTTTTCTTTTAAAAAAATTATTGTTTTATAAAAAAAAAATAGAGGAAATTTACCACTCTTCTTCAATTCTTACCATCATTGTGTATCTAAATCATTTGATTAGCAATTATGATTGAATTAGTGGTAATTAAATAGTTTAATTATTGACTTTTGTCTTGACATTGAACAACATAGAAGTTCAAAACATATTAGCTCTAGTTCTGTCAAGAGAGAAACTGTCATAGTATCTAGTAACATCCGTTTCCAATTACACAAGTTTTAATCTATTACAATAAATTTATTTATAAATAGTCAAAACTCTGTAAATAATTAAACTCGATTTACTAAAATAGAAATTGCCATTTGTGTGTGATTATCAAACATTGAACGGGTGGAGTTTTTAGAGTTTTTAAAATTTAAAAACTAATTAAATTGATAATTATAAAACTTTGTAAATTTAGTTTCGTAAATATATATAAATGGAAATAAGCGAAATATTTAATAAATGATGTTTAAGCAGAAAAAGGGTTTCCAAACAGTGTATATTGCGCAACACCGCTGTCGAGCATTTTTAAAATGACAATATGGATTTCTTCTTTTTTATAAATAAAAAAAAAATCTCCTTTTGTGGAATTAATGGATGAATTCATCTGTTTCTTTTTTTAACAAGAAATTTAATGATATTAAAGATAACTAATTTTTAACGCACTTTACAAAATTAATTTTGTCAAAAATAACACAAATGTCGGTGCGTCCGAACAGATATTGGTTCGAAGAATTTAAAATTATATATATATATATATATGATGAGAAGATCCATGTGTTGCGATTAAACACAATTTAAATCCAGCTCATCTCACACCAACTTGTCTTATACTTAAATAGCCTATTTCCATTTATATAATTCCATTATTTTGACTCAATCCATTTGTCCTTTTATTTTAGTCAAAGTCTTCCATTTTTTTTTGTTATGAGTATAAACCTAAGTTTTCTATTTTGTTTATGTATATATATATATAATAACTGTAATCAAATTATAATATTATAGTTATATATATAACACCTGTAATCAAATTGTATTTATAGTTATAATCACGCTGCTTCTATCTAATTATCGTGATATAAATTAAATTGATTACTTGGATAATACACAACTGCATCAAATTAAATCAACTCAAATGATACAAAATTTTATTCAAATATATTCTAACGGAGATGTAAATATTTTTTTGTACAAAATCATAATACAAATTAAATTGAAATATTGAATAAAAATGGAATAATTATCATTCTTATAAAATCTAAACAGTTAAAGTTAAAAATAGTTAATGTCTTCTCGATGTTTAAATTTGATTTGATATGATTATATGACCATTTAAATGTTTTAAATAAGTATTCGTGTCAATTTTTCATTATACAGAAATATTATATAGTTAATATCTAATTTGCTGCATATTAATAATGCCTACGGTTAAAGTAGAGAAAATCGGAGTAAATAAGTTAATACGTTTATGAATGTTAGGTTAAAAAAAATAGAGAAGTGACCAAATTAATGGCGACAAAGTGTTGAGAAAAAAAAATTTAGGTCACGTGTTGGTCACTTTCACTTTAATGTATTTATTTGTATTATCTAAAATAATAATGTATATATATAGAGTGGATGTGTGTATATATATACACTACAGTATACACGCATAAAAAAGATTTATATGATATTTTAACAAAATATTTTGATGATTATGATCTTATACGAAAATAGTAAAAAGGTGTTGAGAGAATATTTATATAGGTGAACAAAGAGATTTTTATATTTTTAAGTTACATCTAGAAAATAAGAAAATATACCTATATATTTATTAATTGAAATATGTATTTTTTTTAAATGAAATCTGAATTCACATTTAGTGAAGTAAGATATTGATAAAATATAACTTAAATTCGTCTCTATGATTTTTCAATGTGAATTTGTTTATTTTCTAGTTTAATCCAATTACCAAAAAAATATTCGTCGTTGCATTAGAATGAATAGAGTAAAAACATTTGTATTTATATTTTGGATAAAATAAAGTTAAAATAATTTCGCAGAAATAACAACAAAAACTAAACCAATAGTGATTTAGACGCGTCATATTGAAAGGCTTCACCGATAAACGAATCTTTAAATTCTCGTGACTGACCAGAAAATTACATAAATAAATAAATTTGGACGACATAATTAAATACTTTTTGTCGGAATAGAAAACTTTTTATTTTTATTAGGAAATTCACTTCGAATAGAATTTTAACTTATAATATGGATAACAACAATTTATTTTTCTCGATACTGTGTTCCAATGGACAATTTAGTATTTTAATTTTGTTATTATAATTTATTATTTTTATCTGTTGTATTTTGATATTTTAATATTTTGATCATTTAGCGATTAAAACAATATTGCGTTAAACAAATCAGTTTCTTGCTTCTCTATGATATGTATGTATGTTATTTTTTATACAGTGGCTTATACCATCATTATTGCATCAATACATTATTTTATGTATTTATTAATGATCTGGTCATTCCGTTATTTATTTCATATTCTATTTTAATCGGAAATATAAATCTGCATTCGGGAAATTTAAGATATTATATCGCATTGTAGAAAATAACAAAATATAAAAATTATTATCTCCCAATAGTAGATATAATATGCATATATATATATATACACACACATGTTTATGTAAGAGAGGATTGTGAAGATGCGAAAAAGATGGAGGGAGACCAGGAGCGGTGGAAGCATGCTTGCATCATCGATGACGTCACAATTACGAAACGAAACTCGAACTGGGGGTGGCCATTTCGGGTTTCGGTTCGGTTTTCGGTTCGGTTATTTCGGTTATAAAAAAATCATACCCAAACGGTTATATAGATTTAATCGGTCCGGTTCAGTTCGGTTTCAGTTCGGTTCGGCTCGGTTTTTGCATAATAAAATTATAACCAAACGGTTATATTTTTCGGTTTATTCGGTTCGGTTTTAGATCGGTTCGGTTCGGTTATGATATATTTTTTTAAAAAAATTATTAATCCTACATAAATTTCAAAATATCTATTTAAATAAATGCACAAAATGATTAATAATGTAAAATAAAATTATAAAAAAATCTAAAAACTTCAATAATTAGGATAAAAATTAAAAACATTACATTTTATGGTTTATTGGGTGAAATATATAAGGTTAAAAGTGAAGTATAAAAAAATAATACTAATAATAATGAGGATAAAAATTAAAATATTAAAAAAAACTCAATAACCGTTCGGTTAACCGCGGTTATTCGGTTATTAACCGAACCGAACCGAACCCGAACGGTTATTCAACTTCCTCAACCGTTCGGTTATTCGGTTAATAACCGAAATGGCCACCCCTAACTCGAACGTTGGAATGAAATTGAAATAAACAGTTGTTGACTATAAAAATTTATTATTTTTTCTTATAAAACTGAATTGGTTTGTTTTAAATTTTGTCATATAAAAATAAAATAAAAACCAAAATCAAGTTGTATTGACTAAAATGCATTCATATATGTAAATGTAATATTATTTTAATTGTTGTAATTGTTTCATATAAATTAATAAAAATATTTATATATATATTGAGTATAACCAATCTAATTTATTAATTTTAACTCATTCATATACATTATATTTTACGAACAACGGTTGATTCCGAACTTTGGAAGATTAACCGCTGAATCGAAGATTAAGTAAACCTCGTGGTTATAAAAAACAAATGTCATCGCCACAACAAATAAGTGAAGACCCAAATGTCACAAACGCATTGATGATTGAGGTATAATGTATTATTCCTAAATTTTATTATTTAAGATTTAGATTTCTAATATTTACTGAGATAAAATACAATTTTACGACATTATATTTACTTAATATATATATATATATGACATAATCTAACAGTATGGTTTTCTGTAACTTCCAGACCACTTGACACTTGGACCAGAATAATAATGCTCTTCTTTATTGTCTATAGCCGCAAGGCTTTGGCATAGTTAGTTAGATAAGTCAATTAATGATTTTTTTTTTTAATCCACGCAAAGCATCCCAAAACTCTTTCTAAATCTATTCGAATTGTCTGAAAGTAACTAGAATACCTAGCGTCATTTAAATAAAAAATATCCAACATTCTTTTATTAAAATCCAAAAAGTATATTGTGTGGTTATAATACAAAAAAAGTTGGTATCTTTACGTCAAATTCAATGAAATTGGTTGTACCAATAACTTGATTTTTTTATAAGGTGGAAATGTGCGGCCACTACTCTTCCCATATGCACCGGATGTAGAGAAGAATTCTCTTATTAAAAAATTTAGGTTATGTAATTACTTAATTTTTTACACTAGCTTGTTGCTATATCTAAGGAAACAATTAAAAGACTAAATCAATTATATTAGATTACAATCACATTTGAATCTCATAGTTACGGATTTTGGGATATAATATAACTCCTTCCATTACTGGATAGACCTATGTTCTCATTTAGTAGTCTACAAATGACACGAGAAATGTAAACTAGTCTAGATTGTCCATAACTGACAGATTCACACGTAAGAGGTTAAGATGATTCGAACCCCTAACCATGAGATTAAAGGTCTAGTACTCAACCAACCCATCTGGAGTTTCCCCTAACTTGATATTTTTTTTTATATAGATATAACAATTTTAGTATATCTGAATTTATTATATTAAATTTAAAATTTAAATATTGGATACCTAAATGTCATATATTTTAAAAATTATTTGGATATTTATATATATTCGTATCCAAGTACAAATTTCGCGAAAAGTTTGAGTAATATTGTAATTTTCAATAAATATATAAATTATTATTATTATTATTATTATTATTATTTTGTATAAATAGAAAAAATATTGTTTAATTATATAGAGCATCTAAATATGAAATCAAAAATACAAATTTGGATTTTAAATCCAAATAATTTACTTTATAAATCCAAATCAGACCGGATATCGTGAAAACTGGATAATTTTATCCACGAACATCCCCTTATTTTATTTCAGTTTGTATTATGTTCGGCCCGATAATTTTCTCAGTTTTGTTATATTTCTTACCGGTTTTCTTAAACCGGGTTTTGCATACCGGAAAAAAAGCCGGGAATCGATCCCCCATATCTATTTGAGTTATTGCAACTTCACAATTTAGATTTGCATCGTTCCCCTTAAATAGGTTATTATAGTACACATTTTAATAGACAATAATACTTCAACCTACTTTGACATGATACACCAATTAAAAATATATTTTTTTAATTTAATGCGTAAGATTTTATTATTTTCTAAAACTAAAATAGATTATATGGCTACCATATTTTCTAAACATCATGCATACAAAGTTGTATATTTCGTACGATTTAATTCTATCTTAGGAGTTATTTTAAATATATCAAATGTTTAAACCTATGATTTTTTTAAAGGGTCTACAATTATTTTTACTTCCACATTAGATATTTTTTTAATTAGATATTTCTGTATTCCTTTATTATTTATATCTTTCCATTGTAGTTATAATTTTCTCCCCATAAGTGATAAAAATCGATTGCATTAAACCCGTATGTTTTCCAAAAGTAAGTAACATTAATGTAATATAATAATAGCAAACAACTAAACATATGATCATATCATTATAAACCACCCTAGAGTTGGAGTATTTTATAATGTAGACATAAGTAAAAACATCACATATTCACAAATATAACTATTTTTTTGTACTACTATAAATTATGAATTAAAAATGAACAAAAAAAAGGACTAAATCCACATCCATGAATTGAAAATTAAAGAAATATATATAACTATGTACAATTATAATATATGTCGTTATGGTGGTGATACGATATTTCTACGGTAACAAAAATGATCAGTAGAAAGTTCTAAAGTGGAATTTTTCTTTAATTTGAATAATATGTGTTTAGTATAATTCACATTTTATATTTATTAAAAAGGTGTAAACAATGTTATTGTTATCATTAATTTAAAAAGCTAAAATAGGAGCAAAAATAGCGATGCGTAGCACAGGGGTCAATTTAAAAATATATGTAAAAGTACGCGGCGAAAGTAGAAGGTACAGAAAACCATATAAAAACGTTTTTTGTAATTTTTATTTTATTTTTGCAGCAGGCTTCCCTCCACATCTATCCCAAACATAAAATTCCCTCCCTTCCTTCCCTCGTTTTCTACTCTCTCAAAAACCCTCGTCTCTCTCTCTCTCTCGATTCGGCGTTTCTCTCTTCGCGGGAATCCTCCATCGGCGGACAACTGTAGCTGCGATCTATGTCTGACGGTGCACGATCTTCTCTCTTTCCTGCCCCGCCGGCGCCGGGACCGCCGCAGCCACAGCACCCGCCGTCGTCTCCGGCTCCTTCTCCGAAGACATCTGCTCCGGTGATGCCTCCCATTCGTCGGCACTTGGCATTTGCCTCCACGAAGCCGCCGTTCCATCCGTCTGACGAATACCATCGATTTGTCCCTTGTCCTGCCAGTAATACTGATGATAATTGCGTTGTTAATGGTTTTAGAGTCGCCGATCAGGAGGAGGACGCGATCGTAGTTAGATCACCTGTGAGTTTGCATCGCTTTCGGTGCCTTTGATTGCTCGATCTGGGGTTTTATCGGTGGAATTAGAGAGAATCCGGATATGTTTTGGGGTTTGCTTGCTAAATTGCTGTTTGGTACTGACTCGGACACGATCGCCACTCTCGGATTCTACTTATCAGTGTCAGATTGTTGCGACTTCATGTGTTTTTTGTTTGCTTTTATCTCTTGATTGTACATTTGTGCACAATTGATCTGATGCTAGTTTCTGTATTCTCTGATGTACCCAATTGACGAGATTGATAGTAAAATATGCTTGATTGGTGTATTGAAGTCGATTTGTTTAATTTCAGTGGATTGGTTAAAGGTTGAAGTGATGCTGTCCGCCTAGTTGTTCTCCACATGGCTCATCTATGTTTTGGATTTCATGTTTAGATTTAAGTGTTCATAGATGAAACAAGCTTAACCCGTCTCATATCTGTAAATTAGAGGTCTAATCTCGAGTTGCTTTTACATAGACTCACTTGGGCATTTTATGTTTTCACTACTTTGAAACAAAGAACAAATTAGAGCATATGCTGAAGGGCATCGAGGATATGATGTAAGAAGGTCAACAATCAACACATATGCATATGTTTCTTCGGCAGATGATGTTGCTGTAGATGGTTCTGATGAAGCATATAGGGGACTTTGTGTGTCCTCTTTGTGACATTATTGGTTTTTTTCCCTTTAGTGCTCTGCAGTGTTAGGGTGAGCTGATTCTTTTCCAGATAAAAATAACTAGATTGTACTCTGCAGGCATTAAAGAGAAAGTCTACAATGGATTCGGGTGATGTTCAATCAAACAATGGTTTCACAAGCCCTTGTTTCACTAGCTTATCCAACACTCCCTATCAAACTCCTGTTTCTGAAAAAAGAGGCAGAGTTATCAACAGGTCAAAGGCCTCCAAAGGCAACAGGTCAACTCCCCAAACACCCATCTCAAATGCCGGTAAGAAGAATCGCAGATTGCCTACGATTGCCCCTTGTCACTTCCGAGTCTATAGGATAGAGAGCTGATTATTGTTATGGTAAAGTTGCAGCTTCTCCTGCTACGCTTACTCCTACCGGCAGCTGTCGTTACGACAGTTCTTTAGGTAATTTGTGAATCTTCGTATTTATCTCCTGTATTCAATAAATTCTATAAAGAAGCATGGACATGCTGATGCATTAACGCTTTTCAGGTTTCCTTACGAAAAAGTTCATCAATTTAATTAAGCAAGCAGAAGATGGAATGCTGGATTTGAACAAAGCTGCAGAAAAACTGGAGGTGCAAAAACGACGTATATATGATATCACAAACGTTTTGGAGGGGATTGGTCTCATTGAAAAGAAGTTGAAGAACAGAATACAGTGGAAGTGAGATATTTATGATATAAAGTACTTGCTATAAATGGATTATCATCGATTCCTTTCTTTATTGAGATATTCTCCCAATCACTCTTCTATATCTAAACTTATTTGAGGATTCACGAATTTGATCAGAGGATTTGATGCACGGAGGCCTGGAGATATGGATGCCGATGTTTCTGTCTTACAGGTACATCAAGATGAAACATGGTGTAAACTTATTGTGCACATAAACTTAGGGGCAAGGCAATGGTACTTCCGTAGGGCTTTAGATCCAATATTCTGGTTTCATGTTGTTTTCTCTTTGCAGGCAGAAATCGAAAACCTTACCGTGGAAGAGAAGACACTAGATAATCAAATCAGGTATTATTGTGTTGTGTTCATTTAGAAAATTTCTTTTTTGTTCTGATTCATCCTCATGACCAATGCTAACCTTTTACAATTTTTCCAGGGAAATGCAAGAAAAGTTGAGAGACTTGAGTGAGAATGAAAACAATCAGAAGTAAGAATCTGCATCCCTCCTATTGATTTATGGTTCTAGGCCTATGATATGGTATAGTCTTGCTAGGATGGAATGTAATTCCTTCACATGATTCAGATGGCTTTTCGTAACTGAAGAAGATATCAAAAGCTTACCATGTTTTCAGGTTTGTCTCTCCTGGTTCATTTCCTTGGATTTCGTTATTCATCTATTGAGCATATATGTGTTCTCGTTCAGTTTTATCGTAACTCTCTTTTTCGCTGCTTGCACAGAATGAAACTCTGATAGCCATCAAAGCTCCTCATGGGACAACTTTGGAAGTCCCGGATCCAGATGAAGTGAGTCTCGCATGAATGTTTTGTATTTATTTGTTTGATGGTACATATTATGAGGAAGTCGTTGCACTACATGACACAGGCTGCTGACTATCCACAAAGGAGATACAGGATAATCCTCAGAAGCACAATGGGTCCTATCGACGTATACCTCGTGAGGTACTGAAGACCAACCTAGTATTTTTGCCTTTTTCTTTTACCTTCAGCACAAAGACCCTTTTCTCAGTTTTGTTTGTTTGTTTCCTTCGACTGCTTCTTCAGCCAATTTGAAGAGAAGTATGAAGATGCAAATGGAGCCGATCCACAAGGGAACTTGCCCATTGCTTCTAGCTCGGGTTCCAATGAGAACAATGACATAGAAACCTTTACTATCGACAACACAAGAAGTGAGGTGCAGCCTCAGGTGACTCATGCTCAATCAAGTACCTCTGATCTCGATTCGTTGCAGGACCAAGTCGGAGGAATGCTCAAAATTACGCCCTCTGATGTCGAAGTAAGTTATCCCCCTGCTTATCTTAATAGCTCTAGAACGGAGCACGGATACAGAGTTTCTAATAACAAAAACTGACTTACCATATTCGATTCATGAATCCATCCCATAAAGGGCGGGTAAATGGCAACTTAACTTTGTTAAATATGCAAAGACAGGAAAATTTGGCTGAAAGGGTATCTTGTTTAGGGAATGCAATGCATACATCCTAAGAGTAGATCGCTTCGGTTAGTGACATCGATTTTCTCGATATAACCGATTCACGGCCCATGGAAAATGATTAAACTTTCACTCGAATCAAGTACCAGAAACATTAACGAAACGAACTTGTAGACGATTTCACACACATGGAGCTTAATTTCCTTGTTCTAAGAACTTTTTTTTTTTGTTTGGTCTTGCAGAATGACGACTACTGGCTTCTCTCAGGAACCGAACTCAGCATGACAGAGTATTGGAAAACCGACTGTATCCTTCTATACATACATACGTCTATCCTTACTCTATATATCTATATACATATGTGGATTCACTTCCAAACAATGTGGAACCCTTCACTTCAGCTGCAACAGTTGGTATCGACTGGGACTTCGGAACAGCTGATATCAGTACCGCTACTCCGCGCAATGAAACGCCAGAAATACCCTCTGTTGAATCCTCTCGGAGATGATGATTTATCAGCTGCTCCCAAGTGTACGTTGCATCTCATACACCAAAAACTCCTCTTATTACGAGAGCTTTTTTTTTTTTACTTTTATAGATTATTATTATTATTATTGTTTTATAAGATAATATTTCTATTTCCTTAATTAGTTTTAGTATTCTATTTAGAATAATAATACTCTAGGTTTATAACTTCTCTGACATCAAATCTTCTGAACCGTCGATTTTTTTATATTAATCTGAACCGTTCGATTGAAAAAATAATCTGAACCGTTGATATGTTAATATGATCTGAACCGTTGGATCATAAGGATGTCAATCCAAATTGCCCATTGATTTTACTATTCAATTTTCTACTTTTTTATTCATTTCCTTCGACTATAATATCACATCTAAAGTAATAAATAGCATATAAATTTTTATTGATAGAAAGTACTTTAAGAGTATTCGAATATATTTGTCTGATTATAAAATAATATTCAAAATATAAAAAATTCTCCATTATAATTTTTTTCAAACAATAAAATTATGCTTTTTAATTAGTTTAAATTGTAAGATTTTTTTTGTTAAAGCCAAATGATTTTAGTTGTTTGTGATGAGTTTATGTTATAAGTTTTTTTTTTGTATAAGTGTAATAGTGTAGAGTTTTTTTCCATATAAATGTAATTGTTTTGAGATTTTTTAATGATAAATTAAAGAGGATATCTTTTGTTTGAGTCTTGAAAAACTGATACTCTAAAACTTTCTGTTGCATTTCAAAATTGATTTTTATTATATATAATTTCTTATAATTCGTAGAGCAGTTTACATTGGGCAAAGTCAATAAACTACGCATGAACATATATTGATATACACATTGTATGTGCATAATTGTTCAATAAAATCTATGTTTTTTCAGTATTTGGCAAGTGTGCATAAATAAAAAAGAATGCATTTTCTAAGTATATACTCATGGTTGAACTTTCAAAAAGTCAACTCGCATGAAAAAAAAAAGAAACAAAGTTAGTACAAAAAACGCTAATAATTGAACATTAAATTAGTCAACTAATGAAATTAATGTTTGGAAGAAGCGCAAGAAGTGCACCCCAAATTTAAACAAAGGGATACACACACCTCCATTAATTTTAACATCTAACAATGTTATGGAATATAGCATGTAGAAGATACATATATAAACATTATTACAAAAGAAAATCAGATTTATATGGTCCTTATAATCTTATAACGCATCATGTATTGAACATAAAATCATATACAATATATCATGTTTTTTTAGATGGTATATAACATAAATGGTTAGACCATATTAAATTCAAAGTTAAAGTTATATATATATATATATTCAAACATTGACTGTTTTCTACTAATCTCAAATTATGCAACATCATAAAAGAGAAACTCCCAATCACAAAATCCATATTATATTCATAAAGTATAACTAAACATAATCTCTCTCTCCTCTCTTCTTCTTCTTCTTCTTCTTTTTCTCCTCCTTTGTTCTGTTTTGTTTTTACTTTCATGGTTTCTTCTTCTGGTTACAGAGAAGATCGAGCAAAACGTTGTTTCGACATCTAGGGCATCGCAAATCATTCTCTAAGACCATCACATACATCAGACACCTCGAGCATCCGGCGACCACCATCGCCGCCGGCGATTTCACCGGAGATGTAGACGACGACACCTCCTCGTTCACCTCCGTCGACAGGCACGAGCTTGCCGACGATGCATCCTCCGACGATTCCCTCGGTGACCCAACAACCCTAGCCACCATCTCCACCGCCTCCGCCGGATCTCTCCTCGGCGGCGATAGATTCAGCCTCAGGTTGAGTTTTGCTCTGTTCCTCATTTGTCTTCGGAACCTTTGGTTTCACTGAGAGGGTTCTCTGTTTTTTTTTTTATTATTTGTTTTGTGGTTTACTTTTTTTTTTTTGGTGATGGGCATTGTGCAAATAGACGCCGGTATATATAAGGACAAAAACAAAGGGAATAAATATTGGGGAAACAAAGCTTTGCAATTAATTTCTGTTGAGAAATTAATTAAATTGTGGTGGATGCGGAGAGAGAAAACATTTTTTAATGGGAATTATTGTTTTTAAATAATTAACTCGGTAAAAGGAAAAATAGTAATTTGCATGAGAGGAAAATGGTAATATGGCGTAAATGTTGCATTTACCCTTTGCAGGAACCCATTCATTTCTTATATGTAAATGAACTTAAATTAAAGAAAGTGAGTAAATAGAAATATAAAATTATTTGGTCCAACGTCGATGTTTAATACCACTTTTTATTCATTATTAATATCGATTATAGGTTTTTATGTCAAAACAACTTTTTATAGAACCAATAATTTAAAGTTTCAAATTTAAAGATTAAGAAAAGTTTTAATATTAACAAATGAAATTGGAAATAATATAACGTGTAAAAGGTAACCAATTTTGTAATTTACCTTTAATGTAGAAACATATTATTAGGAATTTTGATTAAAAAAATTTCCCTAATAGATATAACAATTTTAGTATATCTGAATTTATTATATTAAATTTAAAATTTAAATATTGGATACCTAAATGTCATATATTTTAAAAATTATTTGGATATTTATATATATTCGTATCCAAGTACAAATTTCGCGTATGTGATATATGGTCATCACATTTTGAAATTGAATACTACAAAAATGAAGAAATTAAACTATTCAAAAATAAAATAAATAAAAAAACTAACAAAGGGTAACGCAACATGCAAATAAATTAAAATACAGAGCTAAGGAAAAGGCTAAAATACATTATAACTGTTGAAGAAAAACCATCACATATTTTATATTTGATAATGTAGAAATTTTGAATACATTAATATTTTAAATTTATTGAAGACTGGGATATTAATGGCTACAGGTTGAATAGGAAGTAGTAAATAAATCTTCTTTATTTCAATGAATTTGTTTCACAAGATTACAAAGGAGAAAGTTGATATTTATTTAAGAAAAACCTTCAAATTGCAGTATAATAAAAGCTTTGGTCATTAAATAATTAGACAACAAATACTACCATTGACCTTTCAATATAATATATTACCTCACCATCAGTTATTTCCCATGTGAAGTTCTTTAATGAATTTGAATGATAGCTTTAATTGATTATTTTTTTATTAATGTTAATCGCAATAGTTATGAGTCAAAAATGATGATGATGATGATGATTTCATTGAGGAGAATGTTGAAATTCAAGAAAAACTGATATTGTCCCATTATTTGCATTACAAGGTCAATTCAAGCTTATGTATGTATGTATGTATGTATGTATGTATGTATGTATGTATGTATGTATGTATGTATGTATGAAATTTTGCCAAATGTGTATTTGACCCCTTGTTATTGGGCCAAACTTGAAAACCAGCATGAGTGCCACGAGGAAAAGGCCCAATAATTGGTTATTGGGCCCATATTTTTTGGTGTTGTGGGCCCCTGTTGTAATCTATTGGGCCCACATTCTTTGGTGTTCTGGGCCCTTGCGATGGATGCTTTAGATGCTGCAAGCACTTCGAAACACGTCTTTGAAACAAATGAGTAGATATTGAAACATTATTATTATTATTATTATTATGTAAACTTAAAATTTGAAAATTTTATGCCATTATATATCTAAATTTGATTATGATTAAATTTACATCCAAATTTGCAAGACAAGGAAAATCACGTGGTACCTTAGGGGTGATGCACTACCTGTAGAAATATCAGATTATATCATTTCTGAGATTTTTTGGGACAAGACAAAAACCAATGTAACATATCCCTTGGAATATTAGATAATATTATTATTTGAATCATAATTTCAAATTTATCACGCTTTGAATTTCTTGCCCGGAAGGTTAAATGCATTTATGGCACTTCAATTTACATATACAACATATATATAGGATATTAAATTTTAAAATGATTCAAAAATTATTTTCGTTTATTTTTTTATTCAATTCAGATTTGATTTTTTTTTATGTTTAGAAAAATCATAACCGTTTCGATTTTTGTATCAGATTTGATTCGATTAGGTTTATGATCTTATTCGGTTCAGTTTAGTTCAACTATTCCATTATTAACCAAATATGACTACCAATAGATAAAGGAAAAAAGTCGAAAATGTTATATAGGACTAATCATCTAATTAAAGCAAAATGTTTTGAAAATTGCAAATACTTGTAAACTACATGTATTGGCTAGTCAAGTTACATTAGTACATATTGTCTTTGAATAAAGACATAAATAAAAAATAAAAAATATATGATAAACCATGATTTTTCTACGAGAGTATTTTTGTTATTTATGTTACTTTTACTACATTTTTAAATTTAATGATTGTTTAGATATTTTTTTGAAAATCTATCATAAAAAAATATAGTTTGAGAATGTCCTTTCTTGAAATGATCAAATTCAATTTTAATTTATTTATATAAGAAAACGAAAGATAAGAGAATTTTCCCGTATACCCATAATCTAGATTATTTTTACAACTGGCTGACTAACAAAAAAAAGCATAAAAGAGCAAAGAGAAATCTAAAATTGTGAAATTTGGAAGAAAACATTACAAAATTTTCTATAAAAAAGGAAAGAGAATTTGCATAAGTAAATTAATTAGAATAAAATAAAAAGGGGTTTGTGGATATTATTGGTGTGTCAAAATCTAAAATGACATGAAATCCCATTTAGAGGGCTCTATCCTCCATCTTCTCGTCTCATTGGCATCATCTGAAAAACTTATATCCTGAAAGGGGAAAATAAATTAAAACAAAAATAATATAACATCAAATATAATAGAATTGTGAAAGAAATACATTGTGCAATAAATAAGAAACGTGCCTAACGGTAACAAGGGGGCCACACACTTTTAGTTCGGATAACTTCATACCACTCCCCGTGATGTCTGAACAGTACAACTTGAGCTTCTCATGTGTTCTCTTTTGTTGTTTTTTTCAATTTATATATATATATATATAAAGATAATTTAGTAATTTATTATATTGTTGGAATATAGATCAAACTCTTGGATGGGAAATTTGTAGGTGTGAACTGTTAAGGTTTTGACGATTACAAACTCACAGACCTAGGTTAACGTGGACCGTCAGCAGCACAAAACCGACAATTATGATTTAAGTAATATATATATATATATATATATATATATATATATATATATTATAACACAACAAAAAAAGTACCAATTTTAGATTCTATTGTCCGAAACTGACGCTCGAGTCAAAGAAAATACTGCTGGTCTGGACTTTCTATTGTTTAGCTGTTTTCAACTCGGATCAATTTTTTTTTAAAAGAAAAGAACATGTAGTTTGGTTCGGTGTTGTAAAAATAATCGAAGATTTATTTGAAAAATAAACATTTCGTCGTTAAAAATCGAAATTGAATCAAACTATATAAAATATAAAAAACCAAATAAATGTTTGCCCTTGTTCATATTGCGAGAGAGAGAGAGAGAGGTACGTACCATGAAGTATGGACGAGGAAAAAGGTGGAGGTGGCTGGTGGTCCGGCGTGGACGATTCGGACAAATCTGAATCAAGCTGACATTCCATATCCACTCCGAAGAGTCTCAACGTTCTTGAATTCGTCGCCTTCACTGATTGATTTTCCATTACTTGTCCTGTTTATTTACGTCACATCACACAAATTACGTATATAAATACAACAATATATATCACATATTCAGCGTATTTCAAGTTTTCGATTGCAAAATTATATATATGGTGTTGTATATTTGTTGTCTCGTTGAATGTACAAAGACAGATGAATTTTTTCAAAAACAAATTTGCAATTGAACTTTGCAGATTGTTATAACGAAGGAAAGCATTTTATTTACCAAAATCAAAATGTTTTCGTCGTCATTATTTTCCTTTTTTATATATATAATCGGACGTTACATTGGTAATGCAAAACTTTATGTCCCCATCACATGAAACAAATATATTAAGTCATATGTGTATATATGTATGCATAGATATGGCGTATTCAATTAAAATACTACGTACGTGTAAGCATCATGCAGAAAAATACAATGCCATTTTGCTTCCATCATTTTTCTCTTCTCTCACGTTTAGGCGCGTCATCACACGCGACATGCCAAAGAAACAATATGTATGTGTATATATATACATTCAAAGGACCGACATTAAATTGCCTGATGAGCTAAACTACAAATAGCAGCTTTTAATCTTTGTAAGATTACAATCACAGTAACACGGAAATTTTAAAAGTGTAAAAAGTAAAATAAAAATTCCCGAGCCATCCATTAGTTAATAAAATTAAACATAACAAGAAAATAGCCGAATTACCCGTTATTGGAAATTTAAAAAAAAAAAAGTCCCCAGATTTGAGTGATATTTTTTTCAAAATTCCTAGCTTTATTTTCCATTTCAATTTTCTTATAAGAATTTTGATTTTATTGCTGAAAAAAAAAACGAGGGCATACCTGATTGAGGAAGATATTCAGGTTGATAATATTGAAGAGGAGTACTATAATTCCCATTGGATTGATGATAAAGACGACGATAAGATTCCGACGACGACGAACAAGCCCGACCACCGTCTCTTCCGCCGGACCGCCGCCCCCCGATGATGAGACTCCGGGCATCAAACGACGTCGCCGGCGTCGAGGTGCTTCTCCTTGACGTATCTGCTCCAACCTTTAGTCAACACGTAGCTCTGGCTGCTGTTCCAGTACGAGTACCTGAACCTCCATAGCCTCCCATCTTCGTCCTCGAAGCAGAGGATGAGCCCCCTCTCGGCGTTCGCGTCTGCGTTTGCGTTGGCGGTTGGAGCGAGTGGGAAGTGGCGTTCCGCCTGTT